TTTGAATTAGCATAAATATATGGGGAAAAAGCAATATTGAAGTTGTGAAGAAATCTATAAATTATAAAAACAAAGAATTTCCAAAATGTTGTCCAAGTTGCTGAAAACTCTTCTTTTCCTGGCTCTTTCTTGGAAGAAAAAAAAAAAAAAGAATAAATTAATGTATTAGCAATCCATCTGTTTTCTTTATGAAGCATAGATTTATTTATTGATGGTTATTTATTCTTATGAGCATCTCCCAGTTCTTAACGTCTTGATTAACTCTCATTCCAGGATTCCAGCCAAAAGAAGTTATGCTTTCTTCACTACAATGATCAGCCAGGTTACCAGTCATATGGATATTAGCCTCATGCATAGCAACAGAATGAGAAGTTCACACCATGGTGGGAGCTAATATTCTCATACCTGTGTTATGCTTCTTACAGTAAGAAAATTGCAATTAATTCTTATTCAACGTTCTTTATGGTATCAAATATAACATAGTTTTTGTTGAGTTAATTGAATAGCAAAGGGAGCCTACAGTTCTCTAAAGCAGCCTTAAAGAATTTGAAGAAAAGACTTTCAAGCTTGTTAGTTTATATTTAGTGTAAATCATTAGCTGTACATAAAATTGCTTACTGTCTTGAAGATGTGTTTCCTTTAAAACGTCTGAGACATTTAAAACCTCAATAGTGCCAGAATAAAGTTATCCCCAAAGGAATTGCTTAAATTGGAAAGGTATTCAAGGAGCACTCTGAAATAAATAATGGATTCATATTCCACAAAAGTTTTAACAGCTCCTTCATACTAAGTTATTTTTGCCTTTAAAGGGGGCTCATTTAAATCAAAGACCAAGACACATTGCTTTCGAGCACAGTTTGGTTTATGGACATCCCTTGAGGCAAAGACAGGCTTAAAGGGAAGTGGGGTTACAATCATTCTTTAGAGATGTATGCAAATATGCATATTCATGTGAATAAATTCTACTATAAATACTGTATATTGATTGGGGATTGACAAGAGCAAATATTTGATTGGATTATGCCCTAGTGAGATCAAGGTGGCCATTAGGATATAACCATGAGGCAACTGGACAGGACTACCAAAACATTATGGTTTTGACAGAAAAAGAGTCAATATTCTATGAACATAGTTTCTTTCTAGGGGACTATGTTCTTTTGCTTTCCAAAACTTCAGCTCTTCCCAAAAGATCTTTTTCTACCTTATCATCATTCCTTGGTCTTCTGAATATTTTTATGGCTAAGCAGACAGAGTGGTTTCCCTGGGCTCGCAGCTATGTAAAGGGGTAGTTGGCTAATTCAACGTCATATAGTTGAACTAGGCCTTTGCATTCCTTGGGAAAAATATTTGGGGTAGGGGCTTTAAACTTGATCCCCTGTACTTTCCTTCAGTTAGCTGAAGGTAATAATATTATGAAAGAGCCATTTTACAAATTATAATCTTGGTGGGCATGCTTTTTCTAAAATACAGTAAATGATGACATGGTGCAATATATCATGTGTTGTTGTTCATCTGAGGTTGTATTTACCTACTTTTGAGAACTGTTAAGGACCAGATGATTTTTATTATGTCCTGATACGTAAAACCATAGAAGTCAAAGGGGGTGTACTTTCTTTTTCACATGACTGTATGTTTTTTTTTAAATATAATTGAAAATATAAAGTTAAATATAAAGTGTTATAAGATGCAAAGAAAAGTGGAGGATTGGGTTTACTGGACCAGTAATTGGATTTCCTTTTTCTGGCTTTAGTTTGTATTTCCTTTTACTATTGTAATTAAAATATTTAATAAAAATTATGAAAAAATGTAATCTGGGGTGTGTGGGAATGCAGTGTTTTCCTTTCACCAAAGCAACATTTTTAATTCACTAAGGCAAGAGAGGCTTTAGTTCCTTAAGCATTTCCCTGGGCTTCTTTGAGACCTTCCAAAGTATTACAAGCCTTGCCCTTAGTGTGATCTCAGTTGGTCAACCAATACTGAGAAGTGTAATCACGGTGTTGAATTGCTTCCATTTGTACATAACCTGCCCCTGACAGTGGAGTGGTGAAGTCCAAACTCTTTGGAAATTGTTTTGTCATCTTTCCAGCTGGAGGAGCATCAACTTTTTTTTGAAGGTCCTCAGGAATCTTGGTTTAAGACAATGCACACATCCCTGTGTTGTGAAGATCAGACTTTGATAGTGAAAACCCAGAATTCTGTCCTTTAAATAAGGCAAGACCTCCCACACTCACACCTGATTCTCATCTCATTGACTGAAACACTTGACTCTAACTTCCCCTCCAAATGAACTGATAATCCTAGAGGTTCACACACTTTTGTCACACACCAATATTTACTTTTGGATCATTTTCCTCAATAAACAAATGAACAAGTATAATGTTTCTTCTTCTTTTGTTTAACTGGGTTTTCTTTATCTAGTTTAGGACTTATATGGAAAACACATCCCATTTTAGGTCACATTTATGCCAAAATATTGAAATTTCAAAAGGGTTCACAAACTTTTAAGCACTCCTGTATTGTTGAAATGAACCTATTTGAATTCTATAGAGTGCAGAAATATTTAAATTATTTCAAACAAATTTCGGTTTTTAAGTTCCCATTGACCTGAGAAAGGTGGGGCAGCTAAAAGAAAGAATACTAAGCCCAGTCAAGGATGAGCTGAGGCTTTATGTGCAAATGTTGCACTTAGCTGTTAGATTTTCAGAAAATATGCCAGGTCTTAAGAAAGATACAGACAGAGGGGTAAATTGGGTCATCTGCTTCCAACTGGGGAGTCAGTGCAGCTGTGTGGGGTAATTAATACAGGGTTAGACTCTCTGTTACTTTGCAAATATGAGAATCACATCATGTACACCAAACCAAAATCCTATTTCTGCAATGGAAACCAAACCGGGGAGAGAAATGAGACATTTTCACATCCAGCATGTGACGAGGAGGCAAGTACTATGGTTATTTTATTCATTTAAGCTATGTTGGACTGGATATATCAGGTGTCTCTCTTCTGTACATCAGGACTTCACAAGGTTATGGAAAGGTGATGTAAAGTTGGTCTCTTGGTCTCTCCTTCTTTTTAGTAATGTTTTAAATTAAGGTTTTATGTATTTATATATTTTATGTTTTTAATGTTTTTTGTGGATCGTCCCGAGTTTCCCCCCCCGGGGGGG